CTTTGGCTCAAGTCTGGATCTTGGGTTCGAGGTTTGTGCTGACAGCTCGGAACTGGACCCTGCTTCAGATTCTGTATCTCCTTCTCTCTCTGCCCCTCCCCCACTTGCGCACACTCTCTCTCTCTCTCTCTCTCAAAAATAAACATTAAAAAAATGTTATTAAAATAAAAATGTAGTAAATTCATAAAACAAAATAACTAAAAAGGATCCATTTCATGGTAGCTTTTCCTTATCAATTTTTTTAAGCAAAATTCCACAAAATTTATTTCAGAAAAAGTAATCAATATAGCATTTGCCAACTTTAAACACAATTTTATTAATGTATTTTTAAATGCTTCTAATCTATGGACAACCGCACATTCCAAAGAATTTTTTTCTTATATTAATAGATAGTATGTAGGGTATACCTAAGCACATCATTAACAACTAGGCATACCCAAGCAAAACACAATTTAAAATTTTTTTATTCAAACACATTGAAATTTGTTAAAATTAATTTTTGATAAAATTAATGCTTAAGTCAAATTTTCAGACTTTGATATTTTGACAGAATAAACTGTGCAGTATGCTATCTAGTTCTTGGAAGAGTTCAGCTGCATAGTGCTTCACATTCCTTTCCTTTTTTTCACATCTGTTCTCTTTCAAAAGAGATGAGTCTTACAAAGAATAAAACAATTCATCTCCAAACAATATTGAATAATTCACATAATCCATTAAAAAAGCCAGTTCCTTTAATTTTCAGAACCCCCCACACACAAATTTTCCTGTCTTCTTCTGTCCAAATGCTGAAGTATATGTAACATATGCTCAGCTGATCTTTTTAAACATTTTTTTAAATTTTTTTTTAATGTTTTATTTATTTCTAGGAGAGAGAGAGACAGCGTGAGCAGGGGAGGGTCAGAGAGAGAGAGAGTCACAGAATCTGAAACAGGCTCCAGGCTCTGGGCTGGCAGTCAGCACAGAGCCCGACGCGGGGCTTGAACCCACGAACCGCGAGATCATGACCTAAGCGAAAGTCGGACGCTTAACCGACTAAGCCACCCAGGCGCCCCTCAGGTGTGCTATTTTGAAGGGGCACATGCACACCAATGTCTATAGCAGTGGTATTAACGATAGCCAAAGTATGTAAAGAGCCCAAATGTCTATTGACTGATGAATGGAATGAAGAAGATGTGGGGGGTGTGTGTGTGTCTGTGTGTGTGTGTAAGTGATGGAATATTACTCAGCAGTCAAAAAGAATGCAATCTTGCCACTTGCAACAAAGTGAATGGATCTACAGTGTATTATGCTAAGCGAAATCAGTTAGAGAAAGACAGACATCATATGATTTCTGAGAGGGAGGCAAATCACAAGAGACTCTTAAATACAGAGAATAAACTGAGGGTTCCCGGAGGAGAGGTAGGTGGGGAATGGGCCAACTGGGTAATGGGCATTAAGTAGGGCACTTGTTTGGGATGAGCACTGGTTGGTGAATTTAAGTGACGAATCACTGGGTTCTACTTCTGAAACCAACACTATGCTGTATGTTAATAACTTGAGTTTAAATAAATTAAAAAAAAAAACCCCTTTAGATATCTTCAAATATTTCAGATGATAATTTAAGCTAAGAAATAGGATTTTAAATGGTTATATATTTTTTAAATTTTTAAAAATGTTTTATTTATTTTTGAGAGAGAGAGAGAGAGAGAGAGAGAAACAGCATGAGCAGGGGAGGGTCAGAGAGAGAGAGGGAGACACCGAATCTGAAGCAGGCTCCAGGCTGTGAGCTAGCTGTCAGTACAGAGCCCAACGTGGGGCTTGAACCCACAAACTATGTGATCATGACCTGAGCCGAAGTTGGACACCTAACCAACTGAGCCACCCAGGCACCCCAAAAAGGTTATTTATTAAAGTAATGAACAGTATGGTGACTATAGTTAATACCATACTGCATAGTTGAAAGTTGGTAAGAGGATGCTCTTAAAAGTTTTCATCACAAAAAAAAAAGAATTTTTAACTCTGTATGATGACAGATGTTAACTGGACTAACTGTGGTGATCAATTCTGCAATACATACAAATGTTAAATCATTACAGTGTATAAACTGAAACTAATATAACTTTATGTCAATTATATCTCAATGAAAAAAGAAATCGGCATCAAACAACAATAACAACTTTACTGAAAATCATTAATTCACTGTAACTGAGTACTACTTGAGGAAGAACAAATTCTGTATTAGGTACAAACAAAGCATCAGGCACAGTTAACTGCCTTCCAGACCATTGAACTTTAGCTGCAGAGACAAGATAACTTCAAGTGAAGTGATGGAGCGAGCAGGAGGTGGAGTAGAAGCCACGGGAGGGAGCCATTTACACAAAACAAAGGTCACAGCCAATGGTTAGTGAGCAGATGAGAATTGAGCCAGGTTATGAGGAACAAATAAAGCTGGCTCAGCGACTGTGTGTCAACTGTACTCAAATAGAAACTGAAATTAAAAAGAAAAGAAACCTACCCAAGTGAAAAGAAAGGGAAGAAGACATTTTAGAGAGGGAAAACATCCTAGAAGGGAGGTATTTGTGAGAGTTTTCTCTTTGGGGACTAGGGAAAAACAAGAAGACCAGAGGACTAGTGTGCGAGGAGGCATTTTTTGATTGATTTGAAAATGAGGTCATTAAAGACAGGTTAAAAGCTAGGGTGGAGAGCTCAAAATCAGTCTCTCGGGTAGAGGAGCCACACAGAAGTGGCAGGAAAGTTGTGGCAAGAGGAGAGAGACAGGAGCCGGGCCCTCAGGAGTGGAACCACCACAGCAGCACCTTCATGAGAACTGCATCAAGGAAAAGATAAAATCTTATGATCTAGAAAAAATGAGGCCATTGATACTATTCATAGTGTTATTAGAATACGGTGGCAGCAACGAAGTCTGAATGAAAGAGTTTTCCATAAGTGGAGGTGACAATAAAACTACTGTTTTGATAAAAACGGAAAGGCACAGAATTAGCAGGAGCACCAGCTGAATGTGATGTATACCTACGCAGCAGAGAAGAATGAAAACAAAAGGGAGAGGGAATGGAGCACAGATGCTCTGGACTTAGAAGAAAAAGTGTCAAGAACAAGAGAACTGTACCCGTCCTGAAAAAGAAGTCTATTAATTCTTCACTGGATTTGCTTTATTTATTCACTAAAGAAAGCTTATTAGCCAATTATTGAATGGTACGTCAATGCAATATAATTATTATGCTTCTGAAATAAGAATGAACCAACAATAGAGAGACCTTCTCATAACTTCAGTGTTCTCATACATAAAAAGTCTATTCCCTCCTTCATAGCTGCTGCAAGAACCGAATGAAGTAAGGCACTAGTACAAGTGCCTTAACTACTAAAACAAGACCTCATCTTCATCATCAATGATAAAGATTCAGCAGGAATTTTAACTCTTTGCAAACCATTTAGGTACCTTATCATTAAGCACTTCTAAGAGGGATTGAAAGGAGAGATGCAGAAGGTATATTTTTTAAAAGGCTGAGATACATTAAAAAGAAATTCAGGAAAGATTAGGTCCTTTATTTCACTGAATCTGGAGAAGGGAGTACAAATATCTGGGGCAATCTGTAAAAATGAACAAAGGCAAGTGGTTTGAAAGCCAATTAAGGTTTGAGAGCATGGAGTTTTGATGAGTAAGTCCATCCTGGTCTTGACTTTATATGAACCACTGCGTCTACAGCCAATACCACCCTGAATGCGCCCGATCTTGTCTGAACAAATGTGTTGGTTAGTTTATTCATTTAACAAGTATACTGAATAAACACTATGTATGTGGTTGTGTGTTGGTGTTGAATCAGAATCAAGATTTATAAGGCACACTCTGACCCAGGAACATCATGAGTACCCAAGTGGGCTCTAGGGAGCATGCCTACTGCTTCATGATACTTTATTTAATCGTTACAACAGCTCTATTAGGTAGGTGATAGTAGTATCTTCTACAGTTGAGATTAAAAACCTACCTAACAGAACTTGGATTTGTTTCCAGAGCAGAAGCTTTTTTTTTTTTTTTTTAAATGTTTTTTATTTATTTCTAGGAAAGAGACAGAGAGAGAGAGACAGCGTGAGCAGGGCAGGGTCAGAGAGAGAGGGAGACACAGACTCTGAAACAGGCTCCAGGCTCTGAGCTGGCAGTCAGCACAGAGCCCGACGCGGGGCTCGAACCCACGAACCACGAGATCATGACCTAAGCGAAAGTCGGACGCTTAACCGACTAAGCCACCCAGGCGCCCCAAGAGCAGAAGCTTTTGATTGTTATATGAAACTATTCATGATGAGAGGAAAGATACTTAAGGAATGACACTGAAAAGTCAGTATATGATCTGTGATGCCTGGCTCTGACAGGTGCAAAATTCAAGAGGAGACACTAAGCTTGATACTTGGAAGCAAAAACACCCCTAAAAGATAACAGAAGTAACCTAAAGACAGGAAATGGCATTGTGTGTATAGCAAATGATGAATAAAGATTATATAATTTGACACAAAAAATAATTTTGTTTGGATTAAAGGAATTCATTCAATTTACCCTAAGGAGATCTGCAGGCTGGTATGTTGAGAAAGATACAAAGAACTCAATTTTATTCCAAAAGACTAAAACAAGATTGGTTTCTAAATTCTAACTTATTAGAAATGAAGGCCTGACAAGGAGACATAAAGCAATATGCTAACTAGACTGGCATAGGGTACTCACTGAGACTCCAAGAACATATTTTTAAGAAAAGCAAACACTGATTTAAGCCTGAATGACTGAAGTCTATGACATATAATACCTCTAGACACAGAGTGTTTTGAAAAACAGACACGAGAGTTGTCTGGCACCCATTATGCTAAACCTAGGACAACGCTTTTAAAAGGAAAAAAATTAAAATCTTAAACAAAAATCTCTAGGTATACTAATAGGACAAAATAACAAGTTAATGCAAATTAAAACAACAGCATTATGGTTCCAAAATAATGTGAGAATGTGCTTCTGTTCTCACCTGGGTTTTGATGTTTTCAGGATCCTCAGCTTGGCTGTCTCGTTTTTGGCTGGGCTTCCAGGCATTCTCTGCCTTTTTCAGGTGCACATCTTCTTTCACAGAGACTGTAATGATCTTCCTGGGCTCTCTTCTCTGGCCAGGTTGAGATCTCCGTGGTCCAACATTCAACAACTAGGACAAGAATATTCTTTATTATATCTACAGAGAGTACTTAAAATTTACTGCCTCTTCTGTGCTGCTCAAGTCAAGCCTGATGATCACACCAAGTACGTCCTAGATGCAAAGATGGGTATTAAGCACTCAGTTGAGATGTGATCCTTGTGTGGGCACGAAGGTGAGAGGACAACCTTAGAATACCATCAGTGTAATGTTCTTTACTACTACCGTTTTTACTTCTGAAGTCCTAAATTAGATAAAGTGATGAGAAATTATGTTTGATACGTCTATTGTTCCTAACAAAAAAGACTACCCTTGAACCGACGCTTTAATTTTTACTCGTCGTGGGACTCTGGACTTCTCACTTGAATGATCATTAAAATTCATCAGCAATAATCATCACAGTCACAAATCTGCTTCAAGAACTAGGTTTCTAGGGGCGCCTGGGTGGCTCAGTTGGTTAAACGTCCGGCTTTGGCTCAGGTCATGATCTCACGGTTTGTGGGTTTGAGGCCCGCATCGCGCTCTGTGCTGACAGCTCAGAACCTGGAGCCTGCTTCCGATTCTGTATCTCCCTCTCTCTCTGCCCCTCCCCTGCTTACACTGTCTTTCTGTCACTCTCTCTCTCTCAGAAATAAATAAAAAATTAAAAAATATATTTAAAAAAACACAAAACTTAGGTTTCTAAACTTCCAGTGTGAAATGCAAATACAATTTTATCACAAAAATTGTCTATAGTGTAAGAGACCTAGCCTTCCTATAGATATTAATGGATCTCCATATTCCTTATATCATTTAGTGAGATCTGACTAAATTGTTCTCTGAAAAAACTTTCTTCCTCTCTTTGTAAGTACTATGTTCCTGCTAGAGTTCCACCCACTACACTCATTCTGTTAAAAACCATTTGCTGGCATGTCGTAATGGTCATCAAATTAAGAACAGTTACTGCAAGAGATAATGGAAGAAAAGTAACATGCTGTGTATTAAAATATCCATAATTGTTGTTATCTTAAATGCAAGGAAATAACTTTTTCAAGATTAAACATTTGGGTTGATAGTAAGTTCTGCTACTCCCAGATCTGTTGCATACTTATAGCCTTTACTTTCTCTGATATGCCATTTTCTAAATGCTGACTAATTATCATAATTAGACTTTAAGAAGGAAGAAAAAAAACTTCACACAAGACCTGGAGATCAGAATCATTATCTCACTTAGTACTCCAATACTGCCCTTCTGAATTTATATAAAGCTTCAGAAAAGATAGTAGAAACTTAAATTTCATGCTTTATATATACTGAAGAAAAAAAACCCCCACAAAAACCCAGGCTATAAGAGATACATGGTCTGAGGCCTAAGTTGATAAGCTTGAAAGCCTTTCAACAATACTCATTCTCAGAATTACACTTCACCATCTGCCCTAATTAGGAACAGTAGTATCAAGGATGTATTAGGATCAAGAGATAGACTTTCTGGGCAATACAAACCAATCTTGTCAAATACATCCAGCTAAGCAATCAGCATAAATGATACAATCTCAGAATACTTAGCAAACATTAAAAAACCTGAGGTCAGATAAACACAGAGGTACCACACATAGTATAACTAAAAAAGAACTGAGAAGGACCAAACTGGAAAAGTACTAACAGGGAATGGTGGCTAAACGGGACAGTACTACTATAAAAACACTTATTTATAACTGAAACTTTAATATAGTAGCCCAGACAAAATAATTCTGATAAGAGAATGCAGTACACCAAAGATCATCTGATTTTTATAATTCAGGTTATATTCTAGTGTTCACTTACAGGAGTTAAATCTTTTTAACACTTGGATAAGTTCAAATAAACAATTCTATCACAGGACATTTAAATTAATCCATGCTTGTGCATGTAAGAATTTGTCAAGAACAAAGATTGGTGGGTGTAATGAAAGGTAATTATGTCAAAATCAGATAAGAACCATAGTAAGCATAATTTGGGATAAAATTTTAATTATGTTTGAATGGTGCTCGCTTCGGCAGCACATATACTAAAATTGGAACGATACAGAGAAGATTAGCATGGCCCCTGCGCAAGGATGACACGCAAATTCGTGAAGCGTTCCATATTTTTTTGACGGAGGACCAAGGGGGAGAAGAAGGGCGGAAATGGTGGGGGAAAGGGAGAGAGGCAAACCATGAGAGACTCTTGAATGCTGACAAAAACTGAGGACTGATGGATGTGGGGGGGAGGGGGGAATGGGCATGAAGGAGGGCACTTTGGGGATGAGCACTGAGTGTTATGTAGAAACTAATTTGACAATAAACTATTTGTAAAAAAAATAAATAAATAAATAAAAATAAAAATTAAAAAAAAAATTATGTTTGAATGAAGTAGGAAATTTCCATTTCAAAAAAGTACTGGAAACTTCAATGATATGCCATGAAATTTGAATCTACAAAGTAAATATGACTTGTGCCAAGTGCCTTTACCAGCTCTATGACAAGTATGTACAGATTTCAAGTGAGCTGCATAAAATATAAAAATATGAGAAGTATTACTAAACAGGTAACAATGTTTGGAAGGGAAAAAAGTTTTGAAAAGACCACACATGCTGTTAGTCCAAGATAAAGAGTTGGTTGATGCCCTGTGTGCAAGCTCCCAAGACAACCTTACCTAACGTGTTCTCTGGCTCACTGCATGTAACTAAGACAGGTACTGCTCACAAATATTTATCCAAGTATATTGAGTCCTCCACAGATTTATTATACTTATAAACGCCTAACACACTTGATAAATTATTCTCTAATGTACTCATGTTTACAAGACTCAGAAGGACTATGGTATAGAAGAAAAGAGAGGCAGATTAGAAGACAAAGGAACTGAACTTTTGAGTTCCGTTCTGCTAATTACAAGCAAAGTTACTATGAGCCAATCTCTTAACTTTGTTGAACTTAGACTTTCTCATATATTAAATGCTGGTCCTACCTACAAAAGTATTATGAGGATCAGGGACATAAGGCATATAAAAGGACCTTAAAAACTAGGTAAGTTGGGGCACCTGGGTGGCTCAGTCAGTTGTGTTTCCAACTTGTACTCAGGTCATGATCTCACAGCTTATAGGTTCAAGCCCTTCATCAGGCTGTGTGCTGTCAGCACGGAGTCCACTTCAGGTTCTCTGGTCCCTTCCCTCTCCCTGTCCTCCCCCTCAAAACTTAATAAACATTAAAAAAAAAAAAAAAAAAAAAGGTAGGTTATCATCAATACCAAAAAAGAAAAGAACTTTTAAAAAAGTGGTATCTATATTGGTATAATTACCCTTAAACATTTCATGTCTTTTGTATGTGTGGAAAACAACACAAATTGTCAAATTTATAGCATCCTTCAGAAGATGTGCCATACATAATAATGACCTATTTATTAAACATAAACAAAATCTAGGATCCTGTATATGGAGGATATATTTATCAAAAAATGAAGCCTGGTCTCCTTGCTCAAAAGACAGACAATCCTGATTGGAAGAGGAACTTCCAGGCTGGAAAAGGAATTTTAAGGTATAATGTGCTCAGGGTTCAGGGCCCAAAAATATGACAACTCAAATGAAGCATCAAAATTTGGTGTTGATAACTAGTGAGCTGCTCATTTTTTTTTCTGACGAAATTAAGTTTAACCTTTTTTTAATGACTATCATGTATTTTTCTTAAATGTATTAAATAGGAAATCATACCCATCTCTGCTTTAAAATTTAGTACACATTGCTTTTATCTCCTTCAGAGACTCTTAAACTCCTCTGCTTACCTGGATTAACCAAAGAAAATAGGACCAATATTCATCCTACCAAGTTTTGAAGAAAAATAGCCAAATGTTCCTTTAAGGACGGAAGAATGATATAAACTCAGGGAACTTCTTTACTCCTAGGATTTTTATAATAGCTCAGCTAAGTAAATATGAATGGCAAATTACTAGTCTAGGTCCACTGCCTTTCCCATTTACTTTGGGGCACTTTCTCTGATGTTTACCCAGTAAAAGTAATATCACAATTCCTAAGTAATTTGACTTTTATTTATTTTTATGTTGTTTTTATTTTTTGAGAGAAAGGGAGTGAGTGGAAGAGGGGCAGAGGTAGGGGGATAGCGGGACAGAGGATCTGAAGCAGGCTCTGTGCTGAAAGGCTGTCAAGCAATGAGCCTGATGTGGGGCTCATACTCTCGAATTGTGAGATCATGATGTGGGGCTTGAACTCACAAATCGGGAGATCATGACCTGAGCCTATGTCAGACGCTCAACTGGTTTGAGCCATCCAGGTGCCCCTAAGTAATCTGATTTTTAAAAAACTAGAGAGAGGATACTGCCTAAGTGTTTCCAATAGATAAGGACATTACTATCCATAAAAAGACCTTTACATTGGAAAATTTTATGTAACTGCCTATGACATGTTAAAACATTTGCTATGCATTCAACATGTTTTATAGCACCTCTCCTGCAATAAAGTTCATACTAGTTATCATAGTTACTTAAACCATATCATGAAGCATACCTAGTAGATCTCAAGATCTTTGGGTGGTAATCATTTATAAGCCAACTGGGAAGCTGGGAAAAATGATTAGAGGAAGTTCCAAACCAAAAACTATGAAGAGCAGGGCTGCTGCTTTTTCCCAAACAGCATCATTAACTGATCCTTTATGTTAGACATCTACATCCTACAAAATTCCCACCTGAATTTTGTATCTATAACATTTCAAAATTTTGTTTGAATCTACAAAAATATAGCCAGGGAAAAAGCGCAAATTAAGTGGAGAACGTATGGGAGATGCTGGAAAAATAATTAACTTGCGTTAAGGCTTAACGTATCAGTATTAACTCTGATGGATTGCAATTTTGCTTAGAAATTGCTTGTGGCACATGCCAGAGCTATTTAAAGAAAGTGAAATAACTAAAACTGACCTTTTTGAAGACATTACAAATCCCTGATAATGGCTCACTTCCAATCACATTTCTTTGAATGCATCAAACAACTCATTTATATGATACAGGTAAGCATGTAGATTAGCATGTATTATGATATATTAGCATGTAGATTATACATTGTAATAGTTTCAAAATCCATTTTCTACTTTCAGTATTTTAAAAGAGACGGAGCTTATTCTCAATTCATAGTATTTCCTTTTGGCTATTCCTAATTATACAGTACACTGGGGATAAAAAGGGACAGTAAACACTGGAAGGGGAGATGCAGTAAGTCCTACCTATCTGTGAGTGACACAGGAACAACACAGAGCAATGGGAGAAGGATGCTGTCAAGCAGACAGAAACTGAAATAGCATCAACATTATTTCCAATGTTGGGAAAAACAAAGATATAAATCAAAACCGAAACTAAAACACAAACGCTAACAGAAATACAACGTTAAATCACCAAAAAGGGAAGTTGAAAAATAAAGCATCCAATGGTTGCTAGAAAGCTGCTTTCTAAGACTTTCTGGTGAAGTAATTAGCTCTTTAGAAAACAATTTTAATTTAGTATTTACAGGAAATAGATAAAGATTCCATTTCAATCCTCTGTGAGAGCAGAATATCACACACAGAGATACCTTTAAGATGCTGATGCTTAATAAATAATATGTTTCAAATTAAGGAGATTTTCTGTAGGTTGTGCAAAGCCTCCAATACGCTGTAGGCACTGAGGTATTTTCAGTTAGTGTTTGGCTGCAGGCAAACAACAAATAATTCAAGTATCTGCAAAGTAACATTTGTTTCTGACACTATAGTCTTACTTCAAAGCAGGTTTCAAAAGGTGCCATTCCAGAAATTAAAAGGTGATGGGGAAATAAAAAGTGTCACCTTAAATAAAAATATTTTTACAAACATAAAGTCATCTTAACAAGATGATGTGCAAATGTACATCAAACACCCAGGTCCTCCAGTAGTTTCAATTAAGCGCTCTCTATACCATTCCAACTTGGGGGAGAGGAGGTATTCACGTCACTGGCAACTGTCCCCCATGCTTTCTGCAAGTCTACAAAGCATGGAGTAGGCACAGCCTGCCGCACCCTGCACAGGGCAGTGCCCCGGCGTTAACTCCACTGGTGATGTCACTCCTACCGCTGAAGAGCCTGCCACTGGGGTGTAGAGGCTACCTGCAGTTTACCAATACTGTACTCTTTTGTACGTGTCATTTGTTCGTATTTTGACTTCACAACCTAGAGTAAGCGATAAGAACAAAACAGAAAATAGTGTAACAGCAGAGACTTGTTTAAAAAAAAAAAAAAATGGAGTCAGCGCACCCCGAGAGGCAGGCTCTTCAGGGGTGGGTGCGACATCGCCAGTGGAGTGCAGGCTGGGGCTTTGCTCTGTTCCAGAATTGGCAATCCATGCCTGCTCTGCACTTTGCAAATCTGTAGAAACAAAGACAAAGAGATGACCATTAGCTGAGTGTCATCAGAGATCTCAACTATATCAGGGCACCTCAACATGAAACAGAAATCCTATTTAAGTCTGGCTCTAATTTTTATCCATCTGCAGTTCATTTCAATTGAAAAAAATATCAAGACCAAAGTAATGCAGACCAGCTTCTCTGAAGTAAAAATGAGTCATATGTATTCTTTATTTGCTTTAATATTAGTATGGAAAAAAGGATAGTCTTCACCTCTTCTACTTCTTCTTCGTTAGAAGAATCAATGAGAAAAAGCCGTTCTCTTGCTGTGAGACAAGATGTCATGAAGTCTATGACAGTTTCTAACTAACTGGATTGTAGGAAACTTGCACTTACAGGTACACCTCTTCCACCAGGGGTTTGCCTTCCAAAATCTGCAAAGGCTGGAGTAAAGTCTGGTCCTCGAGGCAAAATCCGAGGATCCAGAGTTCGCATTGGCAATTTGGGTTGGTTGATCTGCATGAAGAAGCAAAGGAAAGCTTAACACAAGTTTCAAAGCGTTCAGTGCCCAAAAGACAAAAACCTAGACAGAAAAGACGGGTCAGCTAAAATGATAAGCACCAGCTTTCTGAACCAGTGAAGTCCTATGTGAACCATGGTCCCTCCTCCAGACTAGCCTTAGAGCCCTTAGGTCAGCAATCACTTTCTGGTGCTCTGGGACTGATGAGGCCTAAAAATTCCCAGGGGAGGCTAACCACAATCAGTAGCCTGGCTGCCTAGACACTCAGGACCAGCAGGATGGCATAAGAAGAGCTCTAAGAACCTAGGAACGAATTTGGGGATTTTTTTCCCAGGATATTCACGAGGACATCGGAGCACTTACCTAGAAGAATCCTGCCATAGTTCATTGCTGTTGTCTTACAGTTAGTAAAGCATATATTTTGAGTGATAGTAAGTCTCTAAAAGAGATATTTTTCATGTGTGATCACCATTTAAAATCTCATTCGGTCTGCCTGATTAATTGGAGGTACAGGCATATAATGTGACTATAGACTAAAAAAGCTAAGTAGCTCAGGGAGAAATCAACTAATAACTGGATGATGACAGAAAACTATTAGGAAGACAAGAAGGAATATTTCCTAGAGGATAATCTAATTTAGTGTATATAAAACCTGCCCTGAAAAGTAGTCTCAAATTAGCACTGCAAAATACGTACCTAAGAGAGATTTAGATATCAAGAGACATAAGAAAACCTATTGCGATAAAAGAGGAAAATAATACAAATATGGTCTGGAAAAGCAGTTGCTGGAAATCTCAAAAGAAGTGGATCTCATTCTGTAAGATAGTTACCACCTACACTTCAATAAGGATTAATAATTTCTCTTTAAAACAAAAGTATTTTAAACTTGGTCACCAGCACTGGTTCATCATTGATATATACTTGGGCAGATACCCATCTGAGTCTACTCTTTCTAATTTAATAAAGACAAAATAAACACTGTATTAACTTTCTGTTTGCACCATTAGGATCAGATGCCAAAACTGAAGATGAATTACTCTTAAGTTTGGTTTAGGGAAATTCTGAGATATAATATTAGTTGAAAGATGTTGATTACCACTTAAGTTTGATTTGTCTAATACCCTCTTAGGTTCCTGACCTGTCCTCAATGCCATTCTAATTCTATACTGAAATTTGAGAAATATTCATGAAAGAAGTCCATATCACTTTAGCCATAGTAGCCCAACAAACACACATTTTTCACCATATCACTAGGCAACAACTAGAACAATCAGACAGTAAATTTTAAAACTTCACCACTCAAATATGGGACAAACCCTAAGGTTACAGTAATCTATAGTAAATCTCAAATCCAACAGCACTATGTAGGAAAACTATAATACTTACACACATATTTTATTTTATTTTTTTGCAATTTTTTGACATATATATATTTTTTACAAATAGTTTATTGCCAAGTTGGTTTCCATATAACACCCAGTGCTCATCCCCACAAGTGGCCCTCCCTGTGCCCATCCCCTGCCCCCCACATCCATCAGTCCTCAGTTTTTGTCAGCATTCAGGAGTCTCTCATGGTTTGCCTCTCCCCCTTTCCCCCACTATTTCCCCCCTTCTTCTCCCCCATTGTCCTCCGTTAAGTTCCTCCTAATCCTCCTATACGTGCAAACATATATTTGTCCTTCTCTGCCTGACTTATGTCACTCAGCATAACACCCTCAAGGTCCATCCATGTTGCTACACATGGTCAGATTTCATTTTTTCTCATTGCCTTGTAGTATTCCATTGTATAGATAAACCACATCTTCTTGATCCATTCGTCCCTTGATGGACACTTAGGCTCTTTCCATGTTTTGGCTATTGTTGAGAGTGCTGCTATGAACACTGGCGTACATGTGCTCCTATGTCTCAGCATTTCTATATCCCTTGGGTAAATTCCTAGCAGTGCTATTGCTGGGTCATAGGGGAGTTCTAGTGTTAATTTTTTGAGGAACCTCCGCAGTTTTCCAGAGGGGCTGTACCAGTTTACATTCCCACCAACAGTGTAGGAGGGTACCCATTTCTCCACATCCTTGCCAGCATCTCGTGTTCTCTGATTTGCTCATTTTAGCTACTCTGACTGGTGTGAGGTGGTATCTCAGTGTCGTTTTGATTTGCATTTCCCTGATGAGTAGGGATGCTGAGCATCGTTTCATGTGTTTGTTGGCCATCTGGATGTCCTCTTTGGAGAAGTATCTGTTCATATCTTCTGCCCATTTCTTCACTGGGTTGTTTGTTTCTCGGGTGTGGAGTTTGGTGAGTTCCTTATAGATTCTGGATATCAACCCTTTATCTGATATGTCATTTGTAACTATCTTTTCCCATTCCGTTGGTTGCCTATTAGTTTTGTGGGTTGTTTCCTTTGCCGTACACACATATTTTAATCCAAATACACTTAGTCTAATTGTTCCTAAAAATTTTTGCTCATACTTCATATACTTGTACTGATAATTAAAACCAGTTCCCACCAGAAAGACATGGCTCCCTCCAAGTGTGTTGCTTACTTTGTCAAGAACCACGTCACTGATGGGAGGCAGGCCCTCTGGTTTCTGTATACAGGCGGGCATGAACTGGAAGTCCAGCAAAAACTCCCTGTCATACTGCTTCTTGCCTTCACTATCAGCAGGCTTCCAGGGATCTAGAAAAAGGGATTCAGGCAGACAAGTGTGTTTGGGGTTATTATACGTATAACCAGTAAGAGTACAAATTAGATTCTTTACTTTGTCATAGACAGAAACACAAAGCGAACACTGCGCTACAGTCAGAAAATGTCACATAAAAATTTTAAACAGCCATTTGTTCCTTCATCCTTTCTGGATACCTTTGATAGTAAACTGACATTATTACAGAAACTACTTAATATAAACTACCAAGCCCTGAAATATCTTAGAAATAAGGAATCTAATAATACTCTTTGGTTTCATATAAAAGAAGGATACTATGGTTGTTCACTTGGAAATATTTTTGGGGAGGGGGTGGCAAAAGTACACAAAACAAACACAATTTATTTTAAGATTCTGAAAAGGCTAATAAGCAGCTAAATACAATTTTTTCACCCCCTGACAACTGTTTATTCTAATTTTGAAGTATAGTTGATTTACAATATTGTATTCGTTTCAGGTACACAAGATAGTGACTTGACAATCCTATACATTACTAAAGGCTCAGTACAGTAAGTGTAGTTAAGCATCTGTCACCATATGAAGTGATTATATTATTATTGACTATATTCCCTATTCTGTACTTTACATCCCTGTGACTTCTTTATTTTGTAACTGAGAGTCTGACCTTCTGAATCTGTTTACCATTCTTGCCCACCACCCATCAACCTCCCTTCTGGCAATCATAGGTTGCTCTCTGTACTTATCAGTCTATTTCTGTTTTTCTATTTGTTTTTTAGATTCCACATATCAGTGAAATCATATGGTATTGGTCTTTTTCTGTCTCACTTAATCACTAAGAATAATGTCCTCTAGGTCCATCCATGTTGTTGCAGATGGCAAGATTTCTTTCTTTTTTACAGTTCAGTAATACTGCACAATGTGTGTATACACGCATGCAGGCACATACACATATATACACACATCTTTGTTTTCCATTCATTTATCAGTGGACACATAGGTTGCTTACATTATCTTGGCTATTGTAAATAATGCTGCAAAAAACATGAGGGTGCATATATCTTTTTGAATTTCTATGTTTGTTTTCATTGGGTAAATACCCAAAAGTAGAATTACTAAGTCATATAGATTTCTACTTTTTATTTTATCTTTTATTTAAAAATTTTTTTTAAAGTTTTGTTTCTGAGAGAGAAACAGAGAGAGAGAGAGCGAGCGTGAGCAGGGGCGGTCAGAGAGAGAGGGAGACACAGAATCTGAAACAGGCTCCAGGCTCTGAGCTGTCAGCACAGAGCCCGATGCAAGGGCTCAAACCCACAAACCATGAGATCATGACCTGAGCAGAAGTCAGATGCTTAACCGCCTGAGCCACCTAGGTGCCCTACAGTATTTCTAATTTTTTGAGAAACACCCATACTGTTCTCCATAGTAGCTGCAATGCTTTTATTCCCACCAATAGTGCATGGGGGTTCCCTCTTCATAACCTCACCAACACTTGTTATTTATTTCTTGTTTTTCTGATGCTAGTTATTCTCACAAATCTCATTGTGGTATGAGGTGATATCTCACTGTGGTTTTGATTTGTAGTTCCCTGATAATTAGTAATGTTTAGCATCCTCTCATGTGTCTGTTCAAGCCCTTTGCCCATTTTTTAAATTGGATTATTTGGGGTTTGTTTTTCATTGAGTTGTATGAGTTCTTTACATACTTTGGATAATAACCCCTTATCACTGCTGACTACAGCTTAATCCCAAGAAAATAATTAATGTACTTGCTTGCTGAGACTAAACTGGGAAGGCACAAATCCTTCTTCAAAAATCCTGACACACTCTTAATTTTTTTACAAGTTGTATTTGTTTACATAATCTCTACACTCAACGTGGGGCTTGAACTCACAACACCAGGATCGAGTCACATGCTCTCCTGACTGAACCAGTCAGGCACTTCGCATAGCCTATATTTTTAATATTAACTTTAAATTAGTTTTTTGCCATAGCATTCCTTGGTTACCATGACTATTGTTGCAGCTATCATTTCTTATAATCCTAATTTCATCATATTAAGTTAGAGAATTTCTTGAAATTTTTGAATAAAAGCAAGTCACAGTATTTTTCTTTTAATTAACAAAACTCTCATCAAAACCATGCCCCAGATCACTTCATGACAATACTCCTTTATATTAGTGGTTTTTATTTAAAAAAAAAAAAATTTTTTTTTAATGTTTTTATTTATTTCCAGGAGAGAGAGAGAGACAGCATGAGCAGGGGAGGGTCAGAGAGAGAGGGAGTCACAGACTCCGAAACAGGCTCCAGGCTCTGAGCTGGCAGTCAGCACAGAGCTCGACATGGGGCTCGAACCCACGAACCGCGAGATCATGACCTAAGTGAAAGTCGGACACTTAACCGACTAAGCCACCCAGGCGCCCCGTATATTAGTGGTTTTTAATGTGTAGGTGACAGACTCATGATGGCCTGTGAGAATACTACAGATATTTTCAACGAAATCCTTATTACCTTATTATATTCATTAAAAGGCAGGCAGTTTATTGGGATCTAAATTTTATTTTCATTTAAAAAATGTTTTCAGTATTTATTTACTTTTGAGAGAGAGAGAGAGGGAGAGGGAGAGAGGGAGAGAGGGAGAGAGGGAGAGAGGGAGAGAGGGAGAGAGAGAGAGAGAGAGAGAGAGAGAATGAATGTATGAATGGAGGAGAGGCACAAAGAGAGGAAGATACAGAATCCAAAGGAGGCTCTAGGCTCTAAGCTATCAGCACAGAGCCTGATGCAAGGCTGGAACCCATGAACTTCAAGATCATGACCTGAGCCAAAGTAGGATGCTTAACTGACTGAGTCAGCCAGGCACCCCTGGGATCTTAAATTTTAAATTGCCCTTTTCCCATTTACTGCTAGTATGTATTACAGAGGCAAAAGGAAGTTTAGTTTTTCAATATAAGTTGTGACTTATATATAGTTTTGATTTTTCCATGCTAAATTGAAGGATAAAAATATAACTGACAGGGGGTGCCTGGCTGGCTCAGTTGGTAGAGCATGTGATTCTCGATCTTGGGGTTGGGAGTTTGAGCCCCACATTGGGCACAGAGGTTACTAAAAATACACACACACATATGCATTTACATACACACACACACACACACACACACACACACACACAGACATGACTGACACGGTCCTAAAATGGTGTCTCAATCACTTCAGGAGAAGGACTGTTGGTACCCATAAGTGCTTCGTGATATGACAGAGGCCTAGATTTTTAGAATTAATTTCAGTATACTGAATCCTTAAAATAAAAAATTTACTACAGAATAGCCTTATGATTTCATAAAGCCAAGTAGCAGCAGTTTACTGGTAGCAAAAAGATTAGTATATTAAGGTGGTATCAATAATCAGTGACGTTCAAACATTTTTGACTACAACTCACAGTAAGAAATATAATGATTTTATGACCCAGAACAAATACATATATAAAACGTACAAAAGTTTCTTAAAACAGTATTTACCCTTACTCCAGTAGTGCACTGACATTGTTTTACTCTGTTCTCCACTTTATTTTTAAAAATTTTTCAAGTTTATTTACTTTGAGAGAGAGACAGAGAGAGAGAGAGAGAGAGAGAGAGAGAGAGAAAGCATGAGTGGGGGAAGGGCAGAGAGAGGAGAGAGAGACAGAATCCCAAGCAGGCTTCACACTGCCAGTGCAGAGCTGGACGTGGGGTCTGAACCCATGAACTGTGAGATTATGACTTGAGTTGAAGTCAGACACTCAACTGACTGAGACACCCAGGTGCCCTGTACCCCTCTGTTCTCGATTTTTTAAAATGTTGGTTGTACCTTACTACTTCACAACCTATTAAAAGGGTTGAAAACTGCAGTTGTGAAAGACACTGTCTATGGATTATTTTTAAGGTCTGACATTTTACATTCAAACCCTACCTCACACATAAGTCACTCAGATTTGGCCGGCTAAAAAAAACTTTGCACTCATCCCAAACTTTCTATCAAATGAACCACCTTTCCCCACATATCCATGCAAATCTCTCCATTAATCTCAACCCAACCACAGTTTACATATATTGGGATAGAGGTTTTATATTTGGACGGTACCTAAAGATGAAAGACCCTCTGGGACTTACCATGTATTTCAAAGGGGCACGGTACTATACGTACATAATAACCTAATCATATGCTTCTGATTATCACAGTTCCATTTTACAGAGTGATTTCTGTCAACAAGTTCCTGGTGTGAAATTAATTTGGTGAATTATAACCAACATTAAAAAATGTTTTTCTCCTTAAGTAGGCTCCATGCCCAATGTGGGGCTTGAACTTATGACCAAGACGCCTATGATCAAGAACTGCATGCTCTACTGACTGAGCTGGTCAGGCACCGCATAACCAAACATTTTTAAAAGAAGGGAAGAGACTAAAAAATCTCAGTGCATTGCATGTAGTAAGGGTAAGTGATTAAGGCTTGTAAAATGATGAACACAAAACAGCACTGAAATAGCCCTTTCAAATAAACTAAATAAAATTATATTTCTCTTGTTGAGTTCCACCAGCCCAGCAAGGACGCATATCTCTGCCAGCTGTTCTTCCAATGCCAGTAAAAGCAGAATACCAGCATCAGATGTCAGTTCCGCCCACAAAGAACTCTGGATTTGCTAGTCACTAGCTTATGCCTGCTAGTCTGCTCGTCAATTTTGTAAATATTACCCTGTGATGAGCCTCTTCCTTCCATCCAATGTTTCTCCACAAGGAGCCAACATTTCTGTAAGGTGATAGTAGAGTGAAGGTGAATAGATAAGACACACATAGGAAGGCAGGGATCCACTTACCTGGTTTGAATGGGAATGTCACCCTTTCGCCAGAACTATCAGTGGAGCCTGAATTAGCATCTACTCCTTCACCCTCAGAAATACTCTCAGCACCATTACGTACAGGCTCAGCTTCTTCTCCGTTTTCTTCCACAGTTTTTACTTTTTTTAGGTCGGAGGGTTCTCTTCCAGGATGAAACCCTTGGCTCATTTTATCCTGTTCAGATTCAAGTACTTTGTCACCTGAAAACTCCTCTTCAGCTTTAGGCTAAAGCATAAGTGAGGACAGAGGTTACATCATTTTTATCATGTAAATATGTATGAAGACCCACACCTAACCCCTCAAAAGGCAGAAGAAAACATGTCACTCAAAACAAGGATGTCTGTGTTCAGCATATGGGACTAGAATGCTAGGTTTATTTAAAACGCTTTTCTCACTTCATCTCTTGGGATACAGAAGACAAGTCATATGGCTACCGAAATGCTTTAACATGACTAATGAAATCTAAATGTACCAAAGGACAGAATGGAAAGAACTGTTAATCCTAGCACTTGATGGACATGAAAGAGTCCTAGTCAGAAATCTAAATCAAGCACTCCTCCCCTTCCACTAAGGCTCAACAAATATAAAAAGAAACATTAGAGGGTATTTTTGTGCTACCCTCTTGCTGCTAAATGGAAATTTCAATGAATAAAGTATCTGGGCCCCACAAAGCTGGATTATCCCTCATTTTACAAAGAAGCCACCTGTTAGTTAAAATCTATTTTTGTTTACTTATTCTCAGAATTCTCTATGGTGGTGAATTTATTCAAATTATATATGGAAAAGTGCTTGGCACTTATTCCTTTAGGGAGAAATCTGGGTTCTGGTGCATCTTACTCTTAAAAAGCAAAATCGAATTGAAGTTATTCACCAGATTATTTTTGATCACTATAATTTCAAGGTATCAAAGAAAAATTAATTTTCTGAGGGCTATATATGAACCATCAAAACTCCCTGAGGTAAGAGTTCTCTATGAACTTTTAAGTCCTTCTTTATCATAAAAGGTAAGTACTCTAAAAACAATTCTTTGGAACAAGCACTCAGAGGAAGTAGGTATTCTAACTGATAGATTCACACCTGGAGAGCCAAAAATATAAGCTCTGTTGAATTTGTTCAACAGAGAATTGTATGAAAGAATGTCATATACATTCTGAACCTGGGAAGTTCAGTCAGCTGAACATCTGACTCTTGAGGTAGGCTCAGGTTCACTGAAAGTGCTTGAGATTATCTCTATCTCCCTCTCTGCCCCTCCTAAACTCATGTGTGCGTGTGTGCGTGCACTCTCTTCTCTCTCAAAAGTAACCATTAAAAAAATTTTTTTAATGTCATATAAACAAGTGATTACCCTAATTGCTTTATAAAATTATGTTTTGTCAAAAAAATTAAGGAATTACAAATCTTACTTTGTTATATAAGTGAAATATCTTAACAGGTATAACGCTGTAAGTTTCCTTATACATCAGATCATGGGAAAAGACTAAATTTTAAAATGCTATAAATAGAAACAGATGGTTTTTTGGATTTGCTTCTATAATGAAAACAAAAAGGTCATGCAAACGCATGTGTGTGCGCGCATACACACACATACCCATGTGTGCATGTTCGCTTTCCCCACTCTCCTAAAAGGAAAACACAGTGTGGAAATAATCAAAAGAAAGACATAAAAATTTCAAGAAAATAAAGGCTGAAAGGATTTCTTTTTAAATCAAGGCAGAGAGCGAGCATCTTTTAAAGTCTGAGGGAAAAAAAGATCTACCAAGTTTGAATCACGAATCAACAACCTTATTTTTCTTCTTTTATACTGTATTGTAGTCTAGACCTTCTAAGTATAGATCATCAAGAAGATCTTTAATAATTTGGCAGGGGAGTCTGTCAATGGTACTTAACCTTATTAAACAGCAGTATAACTACATTATACAATTAGAGTTCTGATATCAGATCTTATAAAATGAAGAAAAATGCCATTTTAGAGAAAAATATATAATGTACTCCACTCTGTACCTAAAATCAACAAGAGAACATCTGTTGGATATGAAGCAGAGAACGTATTACTTGGAAAATTAATTTTTAACTGGAAAAAGAAGTATACAGAAATTTGTTTCTATGAATAACAAGCCATAATTCAGAGGGCACAGAGAACACTGAGGTGTCTGAGGGATATATTTCAAGGGAACCCACAAAATTAGCTGGATTAAATATTTATGATTATTATTTTTCTTTCAGCCAGATGAAGCTACATGAAACTAGTCTCTAAATATCTAACAGTTCCTAAACTGTTTACTAAGAAAACCAGATCCAAGAAGGAAAATACTTATGGGCAAACGTTTAAGTCAAACGTTAAACTTTAACAGGAACTTATCAAAAGAAGAATTTAGGTGATAAAACTGCTTGTTTAACTCATGAGTTTTTAAAGTGCTAGAAAAGCAGACTGACAACTATGTATAACTGATAAAATATCCTAAAATTTAAAAACATTATTTTAAAGATACCTTGAACATCAATTTTAAGATGAACCATCCCTCATGTTATCCTTGTATACTACAATTATTAGAGTTCGATAACATATCTGCAATGATATAAAAACCTAATATATAACTTAAAATATGCTGGTACCTGAAACATATTCTTTTAAAGGCTGAGAAAAATCCATTAAGAAAAGGAGAGCTTGATAATCAGTGAAAATATAGACGACACCCAGTATATACTAAACTACTCTAATAAATGCTCAAATTTAGGAAAGACAAGAAAACTAGGGTTTCTGGGGGTTGGAGGGAAAGGTCTGTGTGCAAATAATCAAAAATACTTAAATTGTAAAGTTAAGAAAAAAGTGATGGATTCAAAATGAGCCAAAATAGTTCTCATGTATGAAGAGTTAACGATCTGAAGGAAGTTTAGCAAACCACGGCTCATGGGCCAAATCTGGCTCATCAACTGTTTCTGTATAGTGGGCAAGGCAAGGTAAGGACGGTTTCTGCATTTGTAGTAGCTGAAAAAATTCCAAAGAAGAATACTATATGACACATGAATACTACATGAAATTCAAATTCAATGTCTATCAATAAAGTTTTACTGAAATTTAGTCACAATTATTCATTTGCACATTATCTATGGCTGTGTGTGGCCTATAACAACAGAATGGAGAACTGTGACAGGGACCATATAGTCCATAAAATCTAAACTATTTACTATGTGAACTGTTGAAGGAAATGTTTGCCAGTCTCTGATCTAAAAAAGAGAATGAATATTTGCAGGCACAGTAGTGGTGGCCTCCCCATTTAATATTTAGTAATGCTTAGAAATCCAGCAAAGGAATATAAAGTATAACAAGAAAACAAATAAAAAATAGTGGAATCTAAAGAGTAACCAGAGGCGCCTGGGTAGCTCAGTCAGTTAAGCGTCTGACTTCGGCTCAGGTCATGATCTCACGGTTCGTGGGTTCGAGCCCTGCGTCGGGCTCTGTGCTGACAGCCAGCTCAGAGCCTGGAGCCTGCTTCAGATTCTGTGTCTCCCTCTCTCTCTCTCTCAGAAGTAAATAAAACATTAAAAGAAAAAAAAAGTTTTAAAGAGTAACCAGTTTTCGAAGCTCTTACAGCCAAACCAGAAATGTATTCGACTCCTCTGCCTCTGGAAGGTATTTTATTCTCTGTAGCAGCAACATTTTCTGGTTCAACTGCAAGACAAGTGCAGCAACTATCTGCACCTCTACAACTTCTTGCTAATTCTTATCCCCTGATAACCACATTGAAGTCACTTCCGTGAAACACTTTAGTGGCTGCTATGGGACTAACTGTGACATCAGTAGAGCGTCATGTAACAGCAGCGGCAGGACAGGAGGGAGTAACTAACACAGGGTGCTGTGAGCTGCTTCGGAAGGGTAAGAATTATAACTAGACAGAAAAGTCTTTTGAAATAAATGCATTTAAAATCACTTTAAAATAATTTCTAGATTTTAATATTATCACCTTTACACTTAATAAAAATTATTTTAATAAAGCAGACGTTAAGAGCTCAAGAAGAAAAAAAGCAACATACACATGTTTTATATTACTCTTGCTTTATAAGCTTCTATAATTATGATTATAGACCATGACACTGTTAGAACTCTGCTTAGGACTAACTCTGCCCTTATTTCTTCTCATGTTGTCTCCTGTTGTGCTGTGACCTATAGTAAAATATGGAATGGTTTAGTTCAAACAGATAAATCATATGTGCAAAGTTATGTTCCTGGGATACAGTTAAAGATGACAGATCCAGAATGAATTTCCCTAGAATATACCTGATGATTTCTATCACCACTGCTAATGGGTATTTGAAAAAACTTTCCATTTTTCTTTACCAGATTAGTCTTTCCGTCCAGTTAATATAAGGACAAATTCAATTGAGGGGGTTAAGATATTAACCCAAAATTAAACAGTAATTTAGTTTTGCTGAAGAGACATTTCTAAAGAGAGACAAGAATCTGATGAAACTGGTAAGTGGACTTAAAAAAAAATCAGACTATGAGCTCATGTTGGCTTGAAAAAAGGATGTCAAAAAAGAGATGAAAACGTATGCTTGTCGAAGAAAATGGCACCACAACTCCTAACACCAGCTAAAGAGATTTACTGCTTGACCCTTACCTCCACATCTGCCTCCAACACCTCTTCAGTGGTTCGGGTCCGATCTTTTGGTTTTTTCCACATCTTTGGTGCAGTTACAGCTGTCTGAGCTGAAATATAAGATCAGGGCCGTTACTTTCCACTGCAAAGTCATGTTTGGAAATACTAAATCTAAATGACACTTGTATTCAAATTTAGCACACCAAAAGAGGGCTTCACCCATACAGAAGAAATAGAACGATCAAGTCAGTAACTGGGTAGCTGTGGCTCAGAGATGGCAACGGCACATGTCTTAGGCACACACTTCACCTCAGTACATACAGCCTTTTAACCAGTGGGCTAGGTTCCTTCTGTTTCATGGTTAGGACACAGCCAAGCACATAATTCAGTATGTGGTATCTATACAAGACATTGGCCTACCAGCCAATTCTAGACATGGGTTTGCTTCTATTATTAATAAACTATGTGACCTAAAGCAAGTCACAGTTTTCAGGTCCCCTACATATTCAACTACAAAGGTTAGATGATATCTAAGCTACAAAAAAATATTGAATTTCAGCTTGTTTTTTAAAGCTTTCTAGACAACAAAAAGACACTCTGAATTAGGTGGCACTTGTTCAACATTCAGTTCTCATTTCAGATCAGTTCTGTTGTCTAGTCATTCATACTGCTGGGGAGAAAATCAAGAAAGAAAATCTAATTTTTACTCTATTATTATATCATATCAGAAGTTCTAGATGGAAAATGAAGCTTACAAAGGATTTTTTAAACGTATTTTTTTTTCTTAATTTTTGAAAAATGTTTTATTTATTTTTGAGAGAAAGATACAGTGTGAGCAGGGGAGGGTCAGAGAGGGAGGGAGATACAGAATCAGAAGAGAGGCTCCAGGCTCTGAGCTAGCTGTCAGCACAGAGCCTGACATGGGGCTCGAACCCATAAACCGTGAGATCATGACCTAAGCTGAAGACCGACGCTTAGCCGACTGAGCCACGTAGGCGCCCCCTAAAAGCCACTCTTTTTGAAGTATATCCACTTATTTTTGAGAGACTGAGAGAGAGAGGCAGAGAGAGAGAGAGAGAAAGCAGGGGAGGGGCAGAAAGAGGGAGACAGAGGATCAGTCCCAAGCACTGACACTGCAGAGCCTGACACACAACCTTGAGATCACAACTTGAGCCAAAACCAAGAGTTAGACGCTTAACCAACCGAGTAACCGAGATGTCCCTACAAAGGGTTTTTAAATTTTCGTTTGGCTTATAAATTCCACAAAATCATTCAACACTTGGATGTGCAATTTAAAGACTGTTTAAATATAAGATAGCAGAAAGAAGCTATTAAAAGGATCCTACAGAGGCACCTGGGTGGCTCAGTCAGTTAAGTGACTGTCTTTGGCTCAGGTCATGATCTCACGGTTCGTGGGTTCAAGCCCCACATCGGGCTCTGTGCTGACAGCCAGCTCGGAGCCTGGAGCCTGTTTAGGATTCTGTGTCTCCCTCTCTCTGTGACCCTCCCCTACTCACGTGCTCTCTCTCTCTCTCAGAAATAAATAAAACATTAAAAAAAATTAAAAGAAAAATAAACACAAAGCTGAAAGGTGCCACGTACTGTTTCCCTACAGAAAGATAACATTTCTTATTAAGACTAAACCCATCTCTCTGGACAGATCACTCTTTTTCAGAAGAACAGTAGAACATGACACACGGTTCTGGGAAACAAGGAAAAGGAAACATTTAACAATTCTTCTCAAAATTACTGTACCATCAAAAAAATACTCTGTAAATCTCCTTTGTTACATACATCTCATTTTTTATAACTAGATAGAAAAGCCTTCTCCTCGGGGACTATAATGAACAAAAAAACATTAGACCACTATTATTCTTCCTTGGTAACCTACTCAAAGTAAACTATTTTCTCAAAGTATGGAACTAAGACTTTGGTAAACATGGGTGTAAACATGGGCAATTTTCTACTGCCTCACAGTCTTATATTGAATATGTATATTCAGGTCTGTATGCATGTAGTCGTCTTCATTTTTTATGGAACTTGTAAATATAATCAGTCTGTTTTATGGGCATCTCTCCAACAGGCTTGTGATTAATTCTGCTTCCACAGCAGAATCCTTTTCAAGAGTTACAGAGTTGAGAAAAACGTACATTTTATCTTTCTTATTTTTTAAGTGTTTATTTTTGAAGAGAGAGAGAGGGAGGGAGGGAGGGAGGGAACGCAGGGTAGGGGCAAAGAGAGAGAGGGACAAAGGATCCAAAGCAAGCTCCACACTGTCAGCAGAGAGTCTGATGCAGGATTCAAACTCACAAACCCGGAGATCGTGACCTGAGCTGAAGTTGGATGCTTACTGACTCAGCCACCCACGTGCCCCATACATTTTATTTTAAATTTTATTTCATATATGCACAAATTTAGCTCTAAATTCCAGTCACAGAAAAGGGGAAGACCACTTATGAAGGATTCTTCAGTATGACATACGCACTCATGAGTAGTTTCCTCTAACCAACAAAACCCAGAGATGCAGATGAACTTTATTTTTCAAGAATATTGTCAACCATATCCACAACTCAAAAATATAAAAACCCACACATTTCTTTCCTGAACAACATAAAACATTTAACATGGTTTTTAAGAAAGAGCTACTTGGGGCGCCTGGGTGGCTTAGTCGGTTAAGCGTCCGACTTTCGCTTAGGTCATGATCTCGCGGTTCGTGGGTTCTTGCCTCGCTTCTGGTTTTGTGCTGACTTCCAGCTCAGAGCCTGGAGCCTGTTTCAGTCTGTGACTCCCTCTCTCTCTGACCCTCCCCTGCTCACACACTCTCTCTCTCTCCTAGAAATAAATAAATTAATTAAAAAAAAAAAGAGCTACTTAAATAGCAGAAGTTGTTACTCACTCTAAGTGGATACTTAAAGATCTGATTTAAACTAGAAATAAATGCACAAAAGGAGTGAGAGAAAGCAGGCACTAAGAAGGAGATATGCAATCCTTTGAAAACCTGAACACAGATACCCACATACCTAGCATCTGGTGAGGCTGTGATATACAATCCCTCTCTTACCATAATTGGAGGTGCAGTGAACTTTGGTTGTGCTACAGTGGGGAGAAGTAGTAGTAGGGAGGGAGGGAGAGAGACAGAGGCATCAACTCTCTGATTTAACAAGACAATTTTAATACTGAATTAGCTAGAATAAGAGAATTCTATTTAAGACATCATCTCAGATTTGTTCTTTCCTTTCTAGTCCATTCCCAATGCTCACACCTTGGATTAGGCTCATATTGCTGCATGATTAAGTAGAAGATGGTCTACAGAAGAGCTACAGGCCCCACATCAAGTTGCAAGCTTGAACTCTTGAGAGCTGCAAGCTATCCACTCATAAAATTTAGACAGATATAAAGCTAGAAAAATATCTTATCTCTGAGATACTGTGAATACTCTGGCCTATTTGCTTGCCAGCATTTAAAGGATACAAGTATATGTACACTGTATAGTTTTATAATCTTTGTATTAACTGAACTGCAAACAAGAACGTAAAGCTTTATAGTTTTGATCTTTCCGTAAACTGTCAAAACAAATCAACTTCGTCAAAATTCCTATATGTTCAATCTACTAAATTTTGATTGAGGAGGTTAAAAAATTTTTCACAGATTGGTATTTGAAAAGGAAAGTTTGAAAGCAAGTAAATCATGAAAGATAAAGTTAAATAAAATACAGTAAGAAGAACTATCAAAGGGTTAGATATGCACGATTTTTATTAAGTCACTTTAGTCAACAGTAAGTAGGAAGGGGGCACCTGGGTGGCTCAATCGGTTATGTGTCTAAGACTTGATTTCAGGCTCAAGTCATGACCTCATGGTTTGGAGCTGGAGCCCCAAATTGGGCTCTTCGCTGACAGAATGAAGCCTGATGGGGATTCTCTCTCCTCATTTCTGCCTCGCCCCCTGACTTTCTCGCTCTCTCTCAAAATAAATAAACATAAAAAACGTTGTACAATAAGGTTCTCAATCTAAGAATAATACAGTTCTACATTAAAAAAAAAAAAGTAGGATGAAAGAAAAAATTCCTAACTAGTCCATAGAAGTCCACCTTCAGATGGAAATAAACTGCTTATGTTTCAATCTACTGACCAGGACCAAGTAACAGCAAAGATTTTTATGATTTGTTCTTTTAGCAAAGATTTAGCTTTTAGCTAGTTAGATTGGGTCAAAGGCTTAAAAAAGATAAGATTGAAAAAGAAAAAAGGCAAAATAAAAAAAAATTATATCCATACTACATTTATAACCATGTAAAATACTTATGTAAAGACTAGAGGAAAATGAAGAAAAATTTAATTCTAATACTCAGACTGTATCTTTGAACAGTGGACGGCTTTTCTCCATTCTTCACTACTTATTATAATAATAAAAAATTTGAAGAAATAAAAGAGTGAAACTTTTAAAACTGATTTTTATTCATTGTTTCAAGCTTATTTTATCTCATATGACTGGAGTGAAGGTCTTTGGTTGTAGATTTTTAGGGCTGCTCTTTATAAAATTATACTACTAAAATAAATTTTAAGAACTGTTAACCTGACTGAGCATATTAGAACTTTGCTTATGCATTTTTTATTTAATTATTTTATTTTTGAAATCAAGAGTCAGACACTTTACTGACTGAGCGACCTAGGCATCCCTATTTTATTTGTATTTTTAAATTTAAATCCAAGTTAGTTAACATAAAGTGTTATAATGATTTCAGGAACAGAATTCTCCTGATTCATCACTTATACATAACACCTACTGCTCATCCCAACAAGTGTCCTCCTTAATGCTCATCACCCATTTAGCCCATCCCCTCACCCAACACCCCACCAGCAAACCTCTTATGGTTTGTCTCTCTCTCTCTGATTTTATGTTTGCTTCTCTTCCCCTACGGTGATCTGTTTTGCTTCTTTTTCTTTTTTTAAATGTTTTTTTTTTTTTCTTTAAATTTATTTCTGAGAGGGAGACAGCATGAGCAGGGGAGGATCAGAGAGAGAGGAAGATACAGAGTCTGAAACAGGCTCTGAGCTAGCTGTCAGCACAGAGCCCGATGTGGGGCTTGAACCCACGAATCATTAGATCATGACCT